TAACTGAAGGTTGGGATGTCGGAATATGAATGGATTGCCTGTCAAGTATCGCAACTAAATAGCATTCAATCCAAATATAGTGAATTATGTGCTTGTACCTCACCAGTCGGGGACGGAATTTTTGTGTTGTTATTTTGTTTTCGGGAGTGCATGTTATAGTGGGGGCTTTACGCAGCGGAAAAAGCTGCATGCAACGGCGGGTCCAAATTTTTTTTTTTGTTTAAGTTACGGCTGTTTTTCGGTTTCAAAGTTGATAACTTGTATATTTTCAAGGAGAAAATACAAGAAAAAATAAAGATGGCGCGGCCATCCTATATGACATTGGCTGATTAGAAATTCAGCTATTAGCTATTCCGAAATTCAGAAATGTATATAACCCCTGCTCTTTATAAGGACGAACCCGGCCAAATTACTTACTTACTTACTTACTTACTTACTTACCTAATCAAAGCTCGAATCCCAACGGGCGACACCAACGAAATTTCGATCTGACGACGGCCGAACGATAACGATGACATCGCCCGGTTCGCCACTGCATTCGCGTACGTGTGCCGTGACGCGACGCCACCCAGACGTTATGGCATGGTAGACGCGGTGTTCAGAGACACAGAATTGCAATCGTCGGAATAATAAAGCCCGGTTACTAATCGTCTCGTGCCAGTGCCGTCCGATCGCAAAATGACGTCAAATATTTGGTCGCAGGCCTAGTGGAGATCTTTAGATCGACTGGCCTAGTATATATATATTGGGGAAAAAATCGGAGATGAAATCGAAGATTCCCCCTCTTTTGAAAAATCGGGAAAAAATTCAGTGCTTTTAACAGTGCGTTTTTAACAGTGCGTTTTTGACGCCCATATCGTAGGCTGTACTACGTATGCTGTATTAATATTCTATGAATTGAAGCCATTGTGTATCAAATGCATATATAAATTAGGTCCTCATTCATGGCAATTCCGGGATTGTTTGAACGGATTCAGAAAATTCAGTGCTTTAACAGTGCGTTTTTAACAGTGCGTTTTTGACGCCCAAATCGTAGGCTGTACTACGTATGCTGTATCCATATTATATGAATTGAAGCCATTGTGTCAGCCATGTGACTACGTGACACAGCACATACTTTACAAATCACTTCCCACTGCGTCAATAATATAATTCAGGTCATCAGTGGATAATGAAAAATATAAACAGGAATAAATTGATTATTTGATTTATATCAAAAAGCACGCAACGTTACGCTCAAGTCGTTCAAGTGTCGTGAACAGTGAACAATGCCGTTGTGACCATTGAACAGTGTGCTGTCAATAACCCTTACGCCGGAAGCGATCTTATAAATAGATATTGCGCAACAAAATGGACCGAGATTTATATAACGTGAATTCAGAAACAGTGAATGCTATCCATACACGTGGCATAGAAATCCTTTGCTTCTGCCCCAACTTAGATGTCCATATTTATATGGATGCATTGTGGCATCGTTAAAAACAGTAATCACTATATTTCTATTTTAAGACCAAAGGTCGATCGTTGGCGGAGCGGGACATAAAAGTAGTAGCCTAATCATTCGTTTTATAGCATTTCTGCCGGCTGCTATTCAATACAAACCATAAATAGAGAAGTGTGTCACTGTATGCTGTATCCATATTATATGAATTGAAGCCCGAGTGTATTGTAAATGAAAATTGAAACGTACCCAGCGTGCGGTAGAAATGAGTAAGGTCACCCATGAATGACTGCGTTAATAATATAATTCAGGAGGTGCGGGGGCGGAGCCCCGCGTTCCCCAAGATAGAGATGGATAGACCAACACCGAGACGAATAAACGGGGTCACGTATGTGTTTTTGGAACACGAGAACGGGGGCGGGAGGAGGGGGGATGGATGAAATCAGTCCGTTAACAGTGCAAAGTGGGGGAGGGTGGGGGGGGGGGGTTGGGGGTATTGGGTTGTTTTCAAAGTTTTAGTTTATACGTTCATCGTTCACGAAGATTGGGGATTATTTTTTCCCCACCTGTACGTTTACGTACCCCCTATATATAAATATATATATGATTGCTCTAAGGTGCGGACACATTTTAGCATGTGGTGGGTGGCACGTTTAATCGGAGTGGACGAACACATATGACGCATGACCATTGAATTTGGTGTTCAGGCGCGGGCGTGTGTTGTTCGTTGCGTTGCGCGTAGGCCAGGGCTCTATATCGGTTTGGTTTTTTGGTATCGATACTATCCGATATCCGAAAAATGGTATCGATAATCGGCACAATCGATAAATAATCGATTATTTGGGCGTTTATATGTAATTTGTTATAAATAAAATATGGAACATCAAAACCTGCACAATCGATAGTTTGATATTGCAATCCGATAATCGGCGATAAATACGATATATCGATCGTATCGGTTATCAGGATATCGATATAGAGCCTTGGCGTAGGCATATGACGTGACCGATCAGAGGTATAATTGCGCGCTCTCGAGAACTTTCAGACGCAACTCGACGAGAATTTTTAAATATGAACAGCAATAAGCCTCGCACAACGTCTTCATTTTCTCAAACCGCCTCTCCCCGTAGCAGCCGACTTTGGCGGCGGAGTCAATACTTCACTGTTTTCATTACTATTACGGATCGAAAGATGACAAACGCCCGCAATCGCGATGTTGGTACGTCATCGATCGATGTCACAGTCGATCGTTCGATCCGTATGATTTCATGAGAACCACGATATCTACTAGCTACATAGAGGGGTACGGAAAAAGCGGTACGATCACTGCAGGTTGAACACAGGCAGTGAAAGGACTCGAGGATAATATTACGGGAGTAAGGAGTGGCGGCTTACGCCGCCAAGTTATTACTGCGGGAAGATTGTCTGAGAGGGGCGCGTGTCGCAGTGTCATCATCATAACGTGTGACACCGCGACCGCAACTACGATGCTTCAGGTGTGAGTGACCCAAGGAGTCACATACTACTAGATACTACTATAGGGTACCTAATATTGTACTCTACGTGACACTACCTGACTACGAAGTGGTCACTAAAGATGAAGCACTACCCATTCAATGGAAGGGTACACTACGGTATGCATGCTAGAAAATACGTCTAGGGCACTGCCGATTTACGTACAAAAAGCACACTCAGCAAATTACCTCTAAGGCACTACCAAGTAAAGTGCTTCTAAGCACTACCTACGAAAGGGATCGCGACGTGTGATCGTAGAATGTTGAAAATGTTGATTGTCGTTCTCAAAGATAATTTCAGGTCCCTCGAAGATCATCACACGCCATGGGGACGTGGAGAAGGGTCAAAACTGAAAACTGGCCTTGGCAGATCTCGCGAAGTTATTTGGCTGCAACACGTCGAATTTTCTTGAAAATGAGGCCGTTGAGGAACAGCTTTTGAGGGGCCAGGCTGTTCAGGTTGGTGTCGATGAATCCCAACTTCCAAAGGGGTAGAGCGGAGAGAAGGGTCGACGAACGCGATGGGGCTGTAAATCTGGCCAGAAAATCTGCCAAATGGCTGATTAGTAAAGAATGACGAAGAAGACAAAGGGGTTGAGGCAAGGATGTCCGGTTGACGGGCTACCGGTTCCCAAGAGTCCATTCAGTTTACGAAAAGGGCAGCGCGTTAAAAATACCGAAAGGTCAAAAATAGCACTACCGACGATGAGAGGTGGATGGCACATACGATTTCCAGATCTGAAAGAGGGGGTCACTGAAAATGCGGCAGGTCGCGGGGCGCAGCAGGTCTGCGAAATTCCAGGCTGGCGGCGGTTGCTGCTGAGAGGTTGTCATCGAATGACGTTGGTCGCCAAAGTGGGGTCACTACTCCCATCGAAATGGCTGAATTTCCGGGGACACAAATTCCGGAAAAGAGAGATTGTTGCCGGGGTCACCACTCCCTTGTGGCAGCGAGAGAAAGTTTGCAGCGGTCGCGTTGGCCGAGATCATCGCAAAAACCATGCCGGCTGTAAAAATGAAGCTAGTAAACGCGGAAAATCTCAAGATTTCGCGAATCAGAACCTGGAAAATACAGGGGAAGCGTAAGCGAGGCCCATAACCTCATGAGAACCACGATATCTACTAGCTACATAGAGGGGTACGGAAAAAGCGGTACGATCACTGCAGGTTGAACACAGGCAGTGAAAGGACTCGAGGATAATATTACGGGAGTAAGGAGTGGCGGCTTACGCCGCCAAGTTATTACTGCGGGAAGATTGTCTGAGAGGGGCGCGTGTCGCAGTGTCATCATCATAACGTGTGACACCGCGACCGCAACTACGATGCTTCAGGTGTGAGTGACACAAGGAGTCACATACTACTAGATACTACTATAGGGTACCTAATATTGTACTCTACGTGATGATTATCGGAACTGTACAAGTGCCACAAGAGGATCGAGCTTGAACATTGATAAGCTCCGATAGCTCAGTGGTAGAGCAAGTGAGCGACAACCATGAGGTCACCGGATCGAAACCGGATTGGAGCAACATTTGTGCCCGAGCTCGCGGTGACCGACGTTCAGGTCTTGTCCAGTAAAAGTCCCATCACAATTTATAGACCTTAACATTGGTATCGAAGCGACGGTTCGGAAACCGCCTCGGATGTAACGGCATAAGGCACGATGTGACTTGCGCTAAGATCGCGTATGCTCGGGCACGCGATGATATGACCTGCGCTACGCGATTGCATATGCATGGGCACGATGTGACCCGAGCTGATGACGTGGACACATTCCACACAACCCCCGGTACGAGCGGACAAGGTTGGCGGCCACGTCATCACATCCGAGATCGGACCTCTGAAAAGTAACTCGAGACGAATGTCGTGAGGTCACGACACTGTAAAGAGGGGAGGTATGTTACGGATCGAAAGATGACAAACGCCCGCAATCGCGATGTTGGTACGTCATCGATCGATGTCACAGTTGATCGTTCGATCCGTATGATTATCGGAACTGTACAAGTGCCACAAGAGGATCGAGGATCGAGCTTGAAAATTAATAAGCTCCGATAGCTCAGTGGGGACAGTGGCACAACAAGTGGGCGACAACCATGAGGTCACCGGATCGAAACCGGCTTGGAGCAACATTTGTGCCCGAGCTCGCGGTGACGTTCAGGTCTTATACAATACTGGAATATCCTAGTTCAGAGATATCAGACAGTCGGTGAACTCAGTATAGATAGACTCTCACAAGAAATAAACCCTAAGCTAGATATACCCGGAACGGTCTCGAAGTCGGTACGGTCTCGGTCCTAGCTACCTGTGACACCTTGATGTGTCACAACACAGGCTTACGGATCAGTCACAGTCCAGTGTTGGCTACCTCGGAATCTGTCATAGGGGCCTGCACCGGGACTCCCGGTCAGGGCTGCCTATACAGATTTGGAGATTTCAGCACACCACCCCAGCACTGTGGGTGGTGACTGACAGGTAAGTCAGAAATGTAAGACAATGTTAGGGCAGGAGCTAGGGTGACAAGTCCTAACTGCTAATCCAACTGTGCGATTCTGATACACAAATCGGAACCCTCTAGCTGGCACAAGAGCAGAAATATACAGGCACTCAGGTCCCGCTAAACTACTGAAAGGCTCTGTGTCAGCAAATCAATTTTGAAGATTTTAAAGATGTCAAAGTAGAAATATAAACCAAATTGAAGACCATGTTGAGGTCAAAGTACATCTCAGCACATCACCACTAAAGTGGTGCACTGCCAGAACCAGAACTAGAACTAGCCAATAGCAGACTCGTCCTCGTCAATGTCAGACGTTGAGGGCTGTAGTCTGGAGACGGTGGAGTCCCACCGAGAGGCTCACCAGGCAGAAGCGGGCCAGGGCCATACTGGAAGACATAACCCGGGACCCCCTTGCTGGATTTGACACTGTGACACCCGAAACTGTCACATGTCACTTCCTATAGTAGGTTGGGTGACCGTCACCAGTAGTAGTGAAATACCCGTTAAGTATTTGTGTATAACACACTTTTATAAAACACACTTTATCGTTCTGATTCCGTAACCCTCAACTCAGGGTTTATATCAACTAGCTAGATATATACAGCAGACCTATATATCTAACAGGTTTGGCCCCACTTACGCTTTATTTAGCCACTGCGAGATTGCCACTATGAGTGGCTAAGCTCGGACGCTTGGGATGGAGTGGTGAGGCGCTCCGCGCGTGCTTGAGAGTACCGGCAGTCACGGGTATGGCCTAAAATTTATGGGTTGATTTACGGCACGCCGCTCGCCGCAGCGCTTGGAGAACATTTTTTACTTACGGGATTTAACGTTGGACTGGTTTACGTTTTCTGGTTGGATCCCACACCGTTGCGTATCGGCCGCCTACTCCACACGACTTCCCGGAATTATTTGATCTCTCACGGCTGCTGTATCGGCGACCCGCACGTTTCTTGGCCGCCCACGACTGCTACATCTCTCACGTTTCATTGCCTCACTCCGCCTCTTCAGTCCTTCTCATCATGATTGCTTCCACTCGAGCCACCGCTAGCTTGGCGAATCGCCGACGCGCATTATCTACGATTTTTGATTCAGAGGCTGCGAGACACGCGAACACTCCAGCCACACCGCCGGCAGCACAGCCGGCTGCCAATTCAGCAGGGGCTACGTTCCTGGCTTCGGTGCGTACCCTTCAGAGGCAGCACTTCGACATGAAAGTGTCCAAGTCCGTCCGTCAAAAGTTATTTGAGCACAAGAACATGAGGTTTTCCGGCACTGAGGCTCACGCATCAGCGCTATTCGCTAAGATGGTTTCTGCGCTACAGACAGCATTCGTTTGTGACCGAGGACATCGGGTTTGCACCCCTTTTCGTGCTGGACGACGCATCCCTAGCCGTCCGCGTGGAGACCAACAACCTGTTGTACTCCACGCTCGAGCTGATGGTTGACCCCATGTCACCCGCGGCGGATTGGATGGACCCCTCACACTCCAGCTTCCCGACCGACGGTAAGCGTGTGCTGCTTGAGTTCGCCCGCCGCATGCTCCCGACGGGTGACCCCTTTCAGGGGCAAGCGGACATGTTGGGTGTGCGCATTTCCGCGGGTGTGGACCCACATGACGCGATCGGGGACCTTAACGCCGCGCTGAAGGCTGCGAGGACGAGGGCCACGCTCCTGGACGAAGACGTCAAGGCCCTCTTCATCAAGGCGCTGGACACCGTCTTCTACCAGCCGGTGGTGTCCCGTCTACTTCTTCACGATCAACGGGCCGCCCATGACCTTCTCACCATCCAGCAGTGGGTGCGTGAATGCTACGCCGCCCACGTGAAGGCGGGGACCGCCACTGCGTCTGCCCACAGGTATTCGCATGGGACGCATTTCATGGAGAAGAGCGACGGCAGCTCCGATGGTCCGGGTGAACTCGCCGACTTGCGCACCATGGTCTTGGACTTGAAGAGACAATTGGCCGCATTGGTCGCCTCCGACCGGTCCAAGCCGTCCCCGCGCGGGTATACAACAATTGGCCGCACCGGTCGCTTTCCTCGAGCGGAACCAGCTCCCGGATTTGCGTGCAGCATTTGCACGCCCCGACGACGACATTTCGGACTACGTGATTCCAGCGATGTCCGCCGACCGCGTCACTCTCCGCAGCCGCCTCCCCCTACGTTTCCGGACGCGTGCAATACATCGTATTGAACACATATTGCAGGCATATTGCACGCGTATTTACAATACATGTTCAATACAATACAAAATGTTGTAATATGCGTGCAATATGCCTGCAAGCGCTCCAACATATGTTCAACATAGTATTGCAGTGAGCCCTCATGTATTGGAGACATATTGAAGTTTTGATGCAGAGAGTTATTTCAATATGCCTTCAACATATTATGTGTAGTATAGGGTTGGAGACATGCACCATGCATGTCGCAGACAATATGAAGGCATGTTGCAGGCATGTTGCCCACATATTGTATACATATTGTAAGTCAACATTCAATATGTTGGATACATACTGCGGACCTATTGTATACGTATTGAACATACAAATTCAATATGTTGTATATCAAGGTATGGTTTGCCGGAGGTCAACATTAGCATAAAAATTTGAAAAATGTTTTATTTGATAAATAGGTTGGCTGAACCTATCTAAACATATTATGCGCTTCGGGGAGTCAAGTGGTTAAGGCATGAAGAAGTTATGGTCGATACCGTTCCGCGATCTCCCATACTTAACCATACTTAAGCACCAACTAGAAAAACACATATATCTCGAGATCTAGATCTGCAAATTTTTATGCTAATGTTGACCTCCGGCAAACCATACCTTGATATATATTGCGGACCTATTGCATATGTATTGAAACGGAAAATTCAGTATGTCGGATACATATTGCGGACCTATTGTATACGTATTGAACATACAAATTCAATATTTTGTATATATATTGCGGACCTATTGAATATGTATTGAAACGGAAAATTCAGTATGTTGGATACATACCGCGGAGCTATTGCATACGTATTGAACATATAAATTCAATATGTTGTATATATATTGCGGACCTATTGAATATGTATTGAAACGGAAAATTCAGTATGTTGGATACATACTGCGGACCTATTGCATACGTATTGATTATACAAATTCAACATGTTGTATATATATTGTGGACATATTGCATATGTATTGAAATAAAAAGTTGCCTATGTTGGATATATACTATAGACCTATAGCATACATATTGCACATTTGCAACATGCAGTGTGTTCACTATGTATCCACTATGCGTATGCTATGCGAGATAAACAAAATAAGAATAGTAGGGAACACTCGAGCATCTTTACTACGATTAACATGTATCTAGCTAGGCACAAAGGAATACGAATGGGACTATCAAATTTTGTCATACCAATACACAAAATAACGTTCTACTCGTGCACTTTCTATTTACAATACGCAAAATAATGTTCTACTCGTGCACTTTCTATTTACAAGATGCCAACCTAAAATCAATGTATTCATCTAGAACGCTTGACGGGATGCTTGAAGTTGACGTTGTACTCGAGGCGGTCGATTTTCTCCATCTCGCTTTGCTCCAAAACAACCGATCTAAAATGGAAAGTAAAGAGCCAACACTTAATAAAAAAGCGGAAATGCACAAAAGAATATTCTATTGAAAACATAAAGGACTTGTCAACCTAGAATGTTTGAAGGGATGCTTGAAGTTGACGTTGTACTCGAGGCGGTCGATTTCCTCCATTTCGCCGTGCTCGAAAACAGCTGATCTGAAAAGGAAAGTAAAGAGCCAACACTTAGTAGCAGCGGCGCTGCGAGTCGTGGGTGGGGAGGGATGGGCGAGGGTGCGGGTACGGTAGAAAGGTGCATAGCGTGCACGCAAGGACCATAGGACCCAGGGGACAAAGGGTGCGGGGAGGCTGCTCCGCTCCGCGCCGAATCAGGCGCGTGGCGCGTGCGGCGCTCTCCCCGGCGCCGTGCCTTATGCTGCTTCATCTGCGGTTGCGAATCAGCGGCCAAAGGGTGAGCAGCGGCGCTGCGAGTCGTGGGTGGGGCGGGATGGGCGAGGGTGCGCGTACAGTAGAAAGGTGCATAGGGTGCACGCAAGGACCAGAGGACCGAGGGACAAAAGGGTGCGGGGAGGCTGCTCCGCACCGCGCCGAATCAGGCGCGTGGCGCGTGCGGCGCTCTCCCCGGCGCCGTGCCTTATGCTGCTTGATCTGCGGTTGCGAATCAGCGGCCAAAGGGTGAGCAGCGGCGCTGCGAGTCGTGGGTGGGGAGGGATGGGCGAGGGTGCGCGTACGGTAGAAAGGTGCGTAGGGTGCACGCAAGCACCAGAGGACCCAGGGGCAAAGGGTGCGGGGAGGCTGCTCCGCACCGCGCCGAATCAGGCGCGTGGCGCGTGCGGCGCTCTCCCCGGCGCTGTTGTGCCTGTGGGCAGTACGACAGATGCTCGGAATAATGTTTTCGATTGAACGTGCAAAGGTACACAATTCGGATTTTATAATATACTGGATCAGGGCCAGATTGAGGTACAAACGATAATTCGGTTCCGAGTTCTGAAGGCTAAACACTTCTCAAGTGCTCTACTTATTCACTCGTCACTCAGGTTG